TCGTAGCCTAACTCATTTCTTGTCTTTACTCTTATCCAATCAATCCAATCAAACGCATCTGTATAGTTCAATTTCTGAAACGCAATAGCACCAAAAACACTCGAAACACTTCACCAAATAATGTTTCCTTAAATCCTAAACCCCCACAAATCAGTAAATAAACTTCACACACAGGCAGGGTCGGCCAGCATGCTGACCATCGGCCTCTCCTCAAACGATTCAACCCTACAAAAACCCACTAAAGAGCAAATTCCAAACAACAGCGACAGAAGTAGGAGCAGCAACAACAGCAGTAGCACCATCATTAAGCCTAACAACACCATTAACACTAACAACAATAGTAGCAGTAGTAGCCAAAAGTTATACACGGCAGCAGAGTATATAGAAGAGCAAGACGATTATGACGTCATCTATGAAAGAAATAAAACGCTGGGTATGATGTCAAGAGACTTGCTCAGTCCAGAGCCCTACGCCATCGTCCTGCGAGATGTTACCAAGTGGTATGGACGGTTTTTAGCTGTCGATGGCTTGAGCATTGCCATAGAAAGAGTGAGTGACATTTTTCTCCTTCCTTTCGAATTTGGAACTTTACTAAATAAAATGTTGCTTCACTTTTAATTGCTTTTATTATCAATATTATAATATATTATTATAATATATATATATAATTATTGCCCTGATAGATAAAGACACCTAGTCTTGTTTATTATTATTCTAAATTATATAATAATTATAATACAGTTTATTGTAGTAAAATTATTGGTATTTTTGGTTTTTTACCACGAATGTACCTCAAAAAAACACTCTACAATACATCTTTTTTCGTTTTATATTCCCTACCACAGGGCGAATGTTTTGGTCTGCTGGGGGTAAATGGGGCTGGAAAGACGACGACCTTCAAGATGATGACCGGCGGTCTGCAATGCAGTAGTGGAGATATATACATCAAGGTTGTTTTTGTTCATTTTTATTTGTGTTGTTGTTGTTGTTGTCGTTGTTACTATTAACCAACTATAATTATTACTCTTATTATTATCATCATACTTATTACTTTTATTTTTAAGGGGTTGAACATCAGACAGCACCCGAAAGAGGCACAATCGTTAATAGGTTACTGCCCTCAGTTCGACGCCCTCATAGACCAGATGACGGTCTCGGAGACATTGGAATTGTTTGGGAAGTTAAGAGGCATCAGAGGTCAAGAGTTGAAAGCCATTGTCGATGACCTTATTGATACGCTGGTGTTGAGGAAACACGCGAGTAAACAGGCTGGAACTTTGAGGTTTGTCCTACTTCAATCAATTCACCTATATCTCGTTGATGTTTCGGTTCAATTTCGTAACGATCAACTACTTATAAATTACCTCTGCAAAATTTCACAATGACAAACGAGACGTAAACTAAATAATTCTCGCTCGTTTAATCGATGCGAAACGAAATTTCTCAACTGTCTCCTAACCACACCACTCACAGCGGGGGTAACAAAAGAAAATTAGGAGTAGGGATAGCCCTGATCGGAAACCCGCCAATCGTATTCCTTGACGAGCCGACAACTGGAATGGACCCCGTAGCCAGAAAAAAGTTGTGGAATGTTCTGGCGGCTGTCAGGCAGCACGGGACCACTATTGTCCTCACGTCCCACAGGTTTCTGCGTTTGTAGGTTTATAACGAGACGGACGAATAACCGACAATTATATACAATTTATAACGATACGAAATGAATTTTTGATGATTCTATACCCACAATTTATAGCGATGTGAGATTGAGACGGACGATTGGTAAATGTGTACAATTATAACGATACGATACGAATGTTTGATGATTCTGTACAATTTAAGACGATACCGAAAGCGTATTAAACGATAATTTTAGTTTTAAATTATTAAAAACATTTTTAGCATGGAAGAATGCGAAGCCCTATGCACCAGAATCGCAATAATGGTGAATGGTCGGTTCAAATGTCTGGGCAGTGGTCAGCACTTGAAATCGAAATTTGGTGGTGGTTATACGGTGGTTATAAAACTGAAACCAAACAAAAAGCAAGAAGTATTGGAGTACTATACCAGATGTCTTATGCTATTTATTGACAAGGTGGCCGTTTTGTAGTAACTTTCAATCATTTCCAAATATTTAAAACTATAAACTCTTTAATGAATATTTTTGAAATATTCTTGTAAAAAGTTCATTTCAACGTGGATGGTTCATCTGTAAGTTTTGTTTATCGAAAATTAGGCAACTATTTCTGTTTACTGACATTTACGCACACATTTAAACTCTTAAAAATAAACTTTAAAAATCCAATTTACTCAAATTCATCTACATCCTATAAAAAAAAACCAAAAACGTAAAACTAACTCATCCTCCAAAAAACAGGTTTTTCCGGAAAACATCCTGAAAGACCGACACGAATCCTTACTGCACTACCAAATCGACAAACCGAACTTAACATGGGCGCGAGTTTTTGAAGTTTTAGAAAAGGCGCGGGAACCATTCCAAATTGAAGATTACTCTGTCGGGCAGACGACTTTAGAGCAGCTTTTCATCAACTTCGCCAAATCCCAAAGAGTAATTTATAGAGATAATTAGTACGAATGCTTCTATTTATAGCAAATTATCATAAATTATGACAATTATTATTATTATAACAATTAAAACGTTTGTAACAGTGTCTGTGATATATATATTTTTATCGACAAATACTTTATATTTAATTTTAATTATATTCATTTGACAACAATAATGGTAATAATAATTATAGTTAATAATAATAACAACAACAACAACACACGTTTAGACGGCATTTTCCCCGAGATCGGGGGTTGCCGTTTGGCTACCTATGATGAAACCGAAATACCCCTCGACACCATCCACATCTGTCACTCGCCTCAGTATCACGCAACCCCGCTGTCCTTCTCCACCTGCTCTCTCCATCCCAATCGCGGACGACCCCTTCCTACCACTCCTTCAACCTCGAACTCCAACGCTCGCCTAATCCCGACCCTTTCATCCCTTCTCAACACATGTCCATACCACCGCAATCTCAATCTCCTTATCAATGTCACAATGTCCTCATTCAGTCCCATCATTGACATCAGCTCTGTACTACTCCTCCTATCCTTCACTTTAACCCTGCAGTACACTTTCCTCTTTAACACTTTCAGTTAATAATAATAACAACAACAACAATTATAATTATTTATTATTATCACTGTTATTATATTCATGATGACTGAAAATGCCCCAAAAATTCGCTACAATAACATTCCAAACATTAAACATCTCAGCTTATGAATGATGACACCATATTATATATATATATATATATATATATATATATATATATATATATATATATATATATATATGTTGGTAATAGACCATAATTTTTACAATATTCTATAAATTCTACCGAATGTTTGGCGTTCATATGTTTGTAGTTCGTTTTTTCGATTTTTCTCACTAAAGTTTTTTCGGTGAACGTTTAGTTTATTAAAATTCAAAATAAACTTATTTTTCGAATTCATGCTGCAAATAAGGCCATATTTCGATTCCGAATGAATCATCGTCAGTGCTCCTTGCTGTATATATAGGAAAATATTGACTTTGTCAAGATTAACTTTGACGTTGTAAAAATTAACTTTGGTGTTGTGAAATTGAACTTTGATGCGAATTAGGTGTCAGGTTTCTTAATTGGCTGGACATCTTCTTTGGTCTCCTTTTCTTCATCGATAGCATCATATTCTTCTTTGTCACTATTTACGATGCTAGTTTTTATTACTTCTTTATTGTTGGTACTAGGAAGGTTATTGCTGTGTAGTAATTGGTTTTTAACAATCTTTTCAATAGAGTAAGTCTTATATCCATTGTTTACAAGCAGGTTAGTGACTCTCTTTAATTCAGCGTCGCGATTTTCAATATCGGAAGAGTGTGTGAATGCCCGGTTCACAAATGATTTTATTGTGCTGCCTTTAAATTGTTCAGTGCATTCACTTTGTCCATTCAAACAAATTCCTGTATTCGTTTCTTTGACATAGACCGCGGTTTTGAATCGTTCTTCGCCACGGGTGACCAACACATCGAGGAAAGGTAAACGTTGTTCCTTTTCACTTTCAATGGTAAATCCAAGTTTTGATTTGTTTAAGGTACCAAGAAGTTGGGTGATTTGTTCAGGATCGTTATAGGAGACAAAGATATCATCCACGTATCTGGCATAGATATTTGGTTTTAAACTTGCATTGTTTTTGAATGTTTCATTCTCCAGCTGTCCTAGGTAAAAACTGGCAAATAGGACGCCAAGGGGGGAACCCATAGCGACACCATCGATTTGCTTGTAAAGTTTGCCTGTGGGGCTGTGGAATGGTGCTTCAGTAGTGCAAATTTGAAGAAGGGACTTCAGTTGTGCTTTCGCTATGTTCACGTTTACCACTCAGATATGGTTCCATTGAACATACCGAAAGCACTGACGATGATTCATTCGGAATCGAAATATGGCCTTATTTGAAGCATGAATTCAAAAAATAAGTTTATTTTGAATTTTAATAAACTAAACGTTCACCAAAAAACTTTAGTGAGAAAAATCGAAAAAACGAACTACAAACATATTAACGCCAAACATTCGGTAGAATTTATAGAATATTGTAAAAATATATATATATATATATAATTAGTAGCTGTCCCAGTAAAAGTAGTAGCAGTAAGTAGTGTTAATATAGGTTCAAAGCAGAAATATTGTATGGAGTTATGAAAAAAGCTAAATATACAAACTACAGCATTTAAACAAAACAAAACAAAAATCAATCAATCAATCAACCATTCAACCAACCAACCAATCACTCACTCACTCAATCAATCACTTATTCACTCACTCAATCAATCAATCAGTCAACCAAATCAATCAGTCAATCAATCAACCAACCAATCAATCAATCAACCATTATAATTAAAATTATAGCCATTCAAAATAAACAGTGTACAGAGCATAGTTAGTTAAATTTGTGAGTGCGTATGGAAAGAAAGAAAGGAGTGAACGACAATGGAAGAATGAATTAAAAAAACATTTTATCGGATGAATGAGTGAATGATTGAATGAATAAAAATTAATGAATGAACGAGTGAACGAAAAAAAAACAACTTATCAGAAATACTGTGTGCAGGTGAACCAAATTTTTTAACCAAACAAGTGAACGTGTTGAACGAACGAATGAGAAAAGAATGAAGGAATAAATGAATGAACGGATAGATGAATGAATGAATGAGCGGACGGGTGAATGAATGAATTAATGAATGAAAGAACGACAGAACAAAAGTATGGATAAACTAACGAACACGCAAACGTTTTAATAAATACTTGAATGAAAGAATGAAAAATGAATGAATGAACGAATGAATTATAGAAGAAATGAAAGAACGAAACAAAGAACGAACGAAAACTAAAAAAAAGTACAGCGTGTAGCGTGTTTTTCACATCGAAAAAAATTAAGGACAGACGGATGGATGAATGAATGAATGAATGAATGAATGAATGAATGAATGAATGAATGAACGAATGAATGAAAATGTCCAGACTCCTCACAACTGTTCCAAATCAACGTGTCTTATCTCCGGGTGTTTTTTCTATTGACATTTGAAAATATTATTCTCCAATTTAATATAACTCAAAATAATAATAATAATAAATAATATTAAACATAAATGATAATAATAAATATAAATAATAATGATAAATAATACTGATAATAATAAAAAATAATAATAAAAAATAATAATAAAAAATAATAATAATAATAAATAATAACAATAACAATAACTACAATCACAGTGAGATGTACAATATCACGACAATAAAAATAATAATGACATCGACATTAATAATTATAAATAATTATAAAATAAACAAATATATAAATAATTAAATAATGGAGAAATTAACTTTCAAATTCTTCTCAATGCGATCGACAGCCCCGCCCAGCGTATCGACGATGTTCTCACCGTGCCTCAACATGAAGGTCTCGGCGTCTTCAACTGATTGGATGGCTTTTATGTCCTGATTGGTTGGTTGGTTGGTTGATTGATTGGTTGGCTGATTGACTGATTGGTTGATTAATTGGTTGATAATTGGTTGATTGATTGGTTGGTTGGCAATTGGTTGATTGATTGGTTGGTTTATTGGTTGGTTGATTGATTAGTTAGTTTGTTACTGGTTGACTGATTGATTGATTGAATAAGTAGCCGGCTGATTAGTTGATTGACTGATTACAAGTACAAACATACAAACAATCATAAAAACACAAAGACATCTAGACATAGAAGACCCCCAGACACACCAACAGTCATGTCATACAGACAAACACTCGGACAGACAGCCACCCAGACATACAGACACCCAGACAGACAGACAGACGCCTAGACAGACCTGCAGTAACTTCTCCATGTCGATATCCTCAAGGTAGTACCTGGTGACCTCCTTCCCATCGAAATCTACCTCGGCCTTGAACCTCACAAACTTCCCGCCTGCCTCTGTTGCCTTCACGTCAATCAAAGTTCTGCAGTTGGTTGGTTGGTTGGTGGATTGAATGTTTGTGTGTGTGAATGAATGAATAAATGAATGAATGAATGAATAAATGGATGAATGAATGGATGGATGAATGAATGAATGAATGAATTAATTAATTAATTGGTAAGCGAATATTTAATGGACGAGTGAAGACGTAATTGAGAGAATGATCGATTGAATGAACAATAAAGAGTGAATAACTGAAAGTTTATTGACGAAATGAATAAAATAACGAACAGATGAATGAACGAATGAATGAACAGATGGAAAACGAATGAATGAACAGATGGAAAACGAATGAATGAAAACATAAATGGAAGAATGAATGAGAGAACGAAGAAAACCCACCGACCTAATCATTCGATCACTTTCTAACTCTTTCACCAATGCCTGCCTCCTCTCAGCTGGAATCGACCTGCCAATCATAATTCACAATACGGGAAACAATTTCAAATTTCAACCAATCAGAGCCAGCCAAAAATTTAAACTTTACCCACTTTCCAACGAGAGCTGCGGTATTGGTGTAGATAATGAAGGAAGCCACGCCCCCAAGCAGCGTGCCAATGAGGAGAGAGCCAATGGCGTCTGCTAAATAGTGTCCTGTGATCTGAGTTATGCTGATGCACGTGCCTGAATGAGTGAGTGAGTGAGTGAGTGAGTGAGTGAGTGAGTGAGTGAGTGAGTGAGTGAGTGAGTGAGTGAGTGAGTGAGTGAAGGAATTAACATTTCTAGACGAATGAATGAAGAAAAATATAAATAAAAATGAAAGATGACCAATTGTCTTTGTGAATCATTGTAAACGAAAAAAAAATCTATTAATAGACGACCAATCATCTTTCTTTATTTAATCCAATCAGACAAAACTTCACCCTATCAACCAATTCAAAAATTCCAAACCCAACCAATGAAAAGATTCAAATAACCACAGAAACAAATTCATATCTAACCAACCAATCAGAAAAAAGATAGAAACCCAATCAACCAATCAAAACAGCTCGAAACTCAATCAGCCAATCAGAAAAAAGATAGAAACCCAATCAACCAATCAGAGAGAAGACCCTACCCACCAGCGATGATGATGCCAAGTACTGCAGCTGAATCCTCAAGTAGCACGACATTCGTAGTTGGGTCGATACTTCTCGTTACTTGCCAGGATAAATTTTAAAACAAATTATGATAATTATTATGAATAAATATCTCTCTCCCTCTCTCTCTTTCTCTCTCTTGATGATTAAACTTAAGACGAATCAACAACAACAACAAACAACAACAACAACGGCTTCGTTTAATAATAATTTTTACTAAAACAAATGGCACGAAACGACAGACTGTATTCAGGTAGCGGCACTTTAGCCTTCTCGCTGCCATGTTTCAACTCTCTCAGGGCAACCACCAAGGTCCCTAATCGTCCGGGAATAATAATTACAATAATAATAATAATAAATAATGATAATAAATTATTAATAAATTATTATTATAATGAATTATAATAAATTATTAATAAATCATAGGTGCCAACTTAGGGGGGGGGGGGGGGCAAAGCACTTTTTGCCCCCTCAATATTTTTTCAGTGGGGCAAAGTATCGTTTTGCCCCCCCCCAATAATTTTGACTTGAAAATTCAGTTTTCAAAAACGTTTCATTTTTATTTTTAATCAAAATTCGTGTTTATTTACAGTAAACTTTTTTTGAGCGTTAGTCTTAAATAAGTAAAGCGTTCAATCAATAGCCAACTTTTAAACAATTTTTTGCAGCGTTTCGTCGTGTTCCATAGCAACAAAATGTTAAAATCGATTTAAATTTAAAATTGTCATCACGTTGTTTCGTACGCTTTTATTTGTTAACCGGTAAAAGTAAGTGTTTTTAATAAAATTTAATTAAAAAGCTTTATATAAATATAAACTGCATTAAATTAAGTTGAATGAATTTGATTGAATTTATTTCCTAAATTTTATTTTATTAGAACAAGTTTGAAAAAATAAAAATGGATAAGTTTTTGATAAAACTGCCAGCCAAAACATCCGGGACTGGAACGGTTTCAGAAGACTCAATTATCCAAGAAAACACCACAGTAGCGGATACAGATTTAATAGTAGAAGGCACATCCACTACTGTTACCTCTGGTAGATTTACGACTACAATTACAAAACGTCGTTTTGTTCCAACTTGGACCAATAACTTTCCCTGGATTCTGTATGATTCAGCAAAAGATATTGTTCTTTGTTCCACGTGTCGAGAAATATTTTTCACAATGGGTCTGCCGTTTTCTTCTAAAAAAGAAACCGCTTTCATTTAAACGGGTTTTAATAATTGGAAGAAGGGGTTGGAAAAATTTAAATTGCACGAAAGATCACAATGCCACAATGAAGCCGTATTTAAATCTCATACCATGAAGTTATCAGTTAACGTTGTTGCACAGGTGATTATATAGTTTAATTTGTATTTGACATGACAGGTTATCCTAAAATGTAAACACTTTTTATTATAATTACTGATTTCTGAGCAGAAAAAAAGAGTTATTGAATAATCGAAAGTGCCTGAAAAAGATTTTTTCTTCTCTGTTGTTCTTAGCGTCACAAGGTCTTGCAATACGTGGTCACGATGATGACGCAAGTAATTTTGTAAATTTACTTAAGTTAAGAGGTGAAGATTCTGAGGAACTGCAATTGTGGCTAAAATCTGAATCATATACTTGGTGTAGCCATGGTATACAAAACGAAATTCTTGATCTTTTGAGCCATACTCTTCTTAGGTAAATAATTTCATTAGTTAAAATAGCGGGTTTTTATGCTATTATATGTGATGAGACGGCAGATATATCTCGCAAGGAGCAATTTGCTTTTTGTCTAAAATTTACAAAGAATCCATTAGAAGCAGAAGAGATGTTTGTCGGGTTTTACGGAGTGGAATCTACAACCTCAGCTGCTTTGTATTCGGTGATCAAAGATGTTCTTCTCAGATTTAATTTACCACTGTCTAACTGTAGAGGACAGTGTTATGACGGTGCTAGAAACATGGCTGAAGACAAACGTGGTGTTCAAGCTAGAATTCTTGAGGACAAAGCATTATTTATTTATTGTTTGGCTCATTCATTAAATTTGGTAGCTCAGGACGCAATCAAAAATTTTCCTATTTGCAGGGATGCATTAAATATGGTTAAAGACATCATCAACTTTATAAGGGACTCGCCTAAACGATTGACTATATTTCACAATTTAAAATCTGATGTTTGTACAGGCCTCCGACCTCTTTGTCCAACCCGATGGACAGTCAAATATGTCTCTCTGTCGTTTCTTTTATCAAACTACTCAAAATTAATAGATTTCTTTACCGATACGGCTGAAAATGATTCATCAGATTCTGGTGCAAAGCTTCCGGATTTTTACGGCTGATGGAAAAGTTCGATTTTTATTTTACTTTGATAATGTTAACAAAATTATTTGGATACATAGATACGGTTAACACAACGTTACAAAAAAAATCCTTGCAATTTGAAGAAGCGCATCGGATGATTGCAACATTAAAAGCCAGTCTCAGTTTTTGCCAAAAATATTTTTCTGAATTTTGGCAGAAAGTAATTTCTGATAAACCTGCCGAGGTAGAACAAGGGGAACTTAGACAGCAGAGAAAACGAAAAATTCCAAAACGATTCGAAACTAATGATTTGCCAGAACCACAAAATAATCTTTCTCTTAAGGAGATATATCAATCGCAATATGTGGAGATTATTGATGCGATTTTAAAAGCACTGGATACGAGATTTGAGATCAAATCATTCAAATTCATTTTGGAAATCGAGCAGTTTTTGCTAGGTGACGATACAAACAAATCTAAGATTCTCAAATTTTATGAAGAGGACATAGATCCAGACCACTTGATTGTGCAACGAGAGATGCTGCTGCAAATTTTAAAAGAAGCAGATCAATCCCTTGAAAGTATAAACGATATCATCAATTATTTGAAAAAGCAGTCACATCTAATTGAACTTCTTTCGGAATTAGTCAAGTTTTTAAACATTTTTGTGACCATTCCTACGACTTCCGCCACCGCTGAACGATCATTCTCTGGGCTGAGAAGGTTAAAAACATATCTAAAATCGACAATGGGACAAAAACGACTCAATTCTGTATCTCTTCTTCATTTTCACAAAGATGTGGCAAACGAAATGGACTTGGATTCAATTATTAACGAATTTATTCAAAGAAATGATCAGAGAAAAAGTACTTTTTATATGTAAATATGTTTAAGTATGATTCTTAGAAAAACACTCAATTTTTACAAATACTATTGTGAATAAAATTAATAGAAAGAAGTAACATTTTGCTTTTTGGATTTATAAACAATATGCGTTTATAGGATTCCAAATTTTCAGATTTCTTGTAGTTTTATTAAATTTTAAAATTTTGCAATCTTTATGCCGTTTTGTCGAATTGCGGTTTTGATGATAAATTTTTAAATTAATAATTTCACACAATGTTCCTTGTATAATTGTAAATTTATTGAAGAATGGTACGCAAACTAAATTATTATAGAAAAGTTTGCAAACGTATTCTTAAATTATTTTGCCCCCCAATAATTTGATAAAGTTGGCGCCTCTGATAATAATAATAAATTATAATAATTTTTACCACCTCCCTCCAGTAAAAATGAGCCGCCCAGAGTTCGAAGGGCCTGTTCAAATGTTCAATTGTGATTAGTCGGTTGGTCGGTTGGTTGGTTGATTGGTTGGTCGGTTCAAACAGTTAGTGAAAATAATCAATCAACCAACCAACCAACCAACCAACCAGCCAACCAGCCAGCCAACCAGCCAGCCAGCCAACCAACCAACCAACCAATCAATCAATCAATCAATCAATCAATCAATCAATCAATCAACCCAATAAAGAGAGGAGGGCTCAGCGGGGTCAATGAGCCCTGTGATGCCGTGGTAGAAGGACAGGCCGGCCCCCACGCAAAAGATACCCACCCCACTGATCAACGAGGATACGTTTCGAAATTTGGCCCATCCGTAACTAGTCATGATAATGATATCGATGATGATGATGATGGTGGTGGCGGTGATGATGATGATGATGATGGTTGTGGCGGTGATGATGATTATCATATTAGTGGTGATGATGATGATCAACCAGACAAACCAGTCGTTCAACCAGCCAAACCAACCAATCAACCATCCGACCGACCAATCAGTCAACCAATTAGCCAATCGATTAGAATGACGTCACAACAACTAACGGATGATTGACATCCGGTTCTTTGAGAGACTGCCGAATGCCAACGGCCAGAATGATCTAGAAAGATTTAAAAACAAAACAACAACGACAACAAAAACAAGAAAAATGAAACAGTAACAATGAATACGCGTGAATCAACACACACACACACACCACACACACACAAACACACAGATTACACATAACAGATTGGGATCTTTTTGCATTTGAACACGGTTACCACGAGAGCAGCGCCAGGCGCTTTAACCATTACACCAGCACTATTAATATTATTTATTTATTACCTGGTTGATTGTGTCAGCCATTGAGTGGACGAGCTCTGCAAACATGCTGTGAGAACCTGTGTGCATCCATGCAACCAACTTCATCAAGCAGTTTAGCGCGTTGCTGGTGGTGGTGGTGATGGTGTTGATGACGATGATGATGATGTTGATGATGATGACGATGATGTTGATGATGATGTTGATGATAATGAGGATCAATCAATCAATCAATCAATCAATTAGCTTATAAAGCGCTATTTCCGCGATGTTCAACAGCGCTCCTCAATGAATTTTGAAAACAGATGGGTCTTGAGATCCGCTCTGAACTTCGCAAGTGATGGAGAAATAGTTAGAGAAGTAGGTAGAGAGTTCCAGAGAAAAGGACCAGAAAAAGCAAAAGCAGATTTGGCAAAAGAGTGTTTAACACGAGTTAAGAAAAAGCGAGAAGAAGAAGACGATCGTAAACCGGGGCGTTTAGGTTCAATTAATATATCTGATAAGTACTTAGGAAATAATTTAGATTGAGACTTATACATGAACGTGCAAATTTTAAAAATTATTCTATATTTTATAGGTAGCCAGTGCAAGAGAAGAGAGAGACATAGTAGAATCAAAGATAAAACCTAGACTACGAAACTTATGAGAGACATCAAGAGTTTTAGAATCAGGTAAGATAATAGGAGGAATAGTAATTAAGTGTTTAGATTTATTAAAACAAATTAATTCAAACTTAGAAGGATTAAGTTTAAGACACATAGAATCAGACCAAGCGATAATCGAAGAAAGACATAGAGATAAATTATGAAGAACACTATTGAGATTAGATGGAGGAAAAGAAGTATAAATATAAGAATCATCAGCATATAGTTGACTAGAGAAAGAAAAGTTATTAATAATACGAGGTAGTTCAGAAGTATAGAGTATAAATAGAAGAGGGCCAAGGATAGAACCCTGAGGTACCCCGAAAGTAAGAGTAGAGGAGTTAGAAGTAGAATTATTGAGAACAACAGAAGAAAAACGATTACAGAGATAAGAAGAAAACCAAGATAGACAAGAATCAGTAATATTAAAAGAAAGATACAGCAGTCTCAAGGAGGATGATGGTGATGACGATGATGATGAGGATGCGGATGATGATGATGGTGGTGATGGCTATGGTGATATTGGTGACGATAATGATGGTGATTGTAATGATGGTGATGTTGACGATGATGGTGAGAATGTCACCAACAAAAAACAAACATACAAAGAACAAACAAACAAAGAAAGAACAAACAAGCAAACAAACAACAAACAAACAAACAAAAAACAAACGAAAAAAGAACAAACAAACAAAGAACAAACAAACAAACAAAGACAGAACAACAACAACAAACCATCCGACCGCAGTGAGAACAACTTTTGACGAAGGAACTTTCAGAAATTCTGACTCTTGCTGTCGGCAATAATAATCATAATAATCATCGACCCCGTCATCATCATCATCATCGTCATCATCGTCATCGTTGTAACCTCGGATGATGATGATGATGTTTGGTGAAGAGGTTTAAAGATGTACGGTTTCTCGAAAGCTGTTGTCGGCGGGTTTTTCAAGTAATGGTCGCGTCTGTATGAGTAGAGTTCTTGTGATAGGGAAAACGCTCCTGAATGAGTGATTGAATGAATGATTGAATGATTGATTGATTTATTGAATGATTGAATAAATGAATGATTGAATAAATGAATGATAGAATAAATGATTGAATGAATGATTGATTGAATGAATGAATGATTGACTGAATGATTGATTGAATGAATGAATGATTGACTGAATGATTGAATGAATGAATGAATGATTGACTGAATGAATGAATGAATGAATGATTGACTGAATGAATGAATGAATGATTGACTGAATGAATGAATGAATGATTGACGGAAGAGATACAAACGCCTTCTGGCTCTATCTTGTCTCTTCTTCAAGAAATCCTTCTGTAGTGTGAGGTTCTCTAAACTCCCCCACTTGTCGATTGCTCTAAACGGTAGAAGAAATCTTTTTCGTCCATTCATTCATTCATTCATTCATTCATTCATTCATTCATTCATTCATTCATTCATTCGTTCATTCATTCGTTCAATTATTCATACATACGGCCAGCCAGCCAGCCAGCCAAAAAATATACTAACCTATAAAATTAACAAACAAACCAACCAACCAACCAGCCAATCAATCAACCAATCAGCAACCAATGAATCAGATGACCTCTTCTCAAGGTCAACCCTCTTAAACACGGTGATGTTGTCCCTTTCGGGGTACGGACTCCTCCTTGTGTACTTGGGCAGAGAATCGAGTTCACTGGGGCAGAATATAATTCATCATAGTTACGAATAATTTACTACAACTACAAAGAATAATAACAATAATTAACATACATACATACATATAAACATATATACATACATACATACACAGATAAGCATACATACATACACACATTCACATATACATACATACTCATAATCTATAAATACATGCATACATACCACATAAACACACACACACACACCTGGATTCTAGTAGGAACTCATTCATAGCTCTAGACATTGGTATGAATATATTTTCCGTGTAAACTTTTGAGAAGTCTGTCTTCATTCTCTTCTTATCAGAAACATCAACTACAAAATTAAGAGTGATAGCAATAATAGTATTAATGGACGACGCTGTGGTGTAATGGTTAAGGCGCCTGGCACTGATGTTGAAGTGGATGTGTTCAAACGCAAGGAAAGCCCAATGAGAACCCAAGGATTCCTAATTTATATAGCGCTCACTATGTAGCATAACAAACGTTACAAATAACATACATCACTCATATGTGGGTTCTCTTTGCATTCAAACCCAGCAGCACCAGACCAACATGCTCACTGATAATGGCTAAACAATTATAATTCAACTAAGAAACCTTTAAGAAAAATCTCTTTATTTTTCATGTCGTCCTCTTTTGAATTGCCACTAATGGTCGATGGGCTGTGGTTGTGATGGAGCTGCTGCTGCTGCTGCTCCTGCTGCTGCTGTAGGGCTATCTCTTCCGGACGCCTGCTATTTTTAGAAGATAGGAAACATTACTTCATTTTCATTTAATAGGAAGGCAATTAGTACTACTGCTGCTACTACTACTGCTGCTACTACTACTACTACTGCTGCTACTACTACTGCTGCTGCTACTACTACTGCTGCTACTATTACTATTACAACTACTATTACTACAATTAATTTATGTTCTGTAAATAGGAATGCTACTACTATTACTACTTCTACTGCTACTGCTGCCACCATATTAGCAGTGGTAGTAGTAGTAGTAGTAGTAGTAATAGTAGTAGTAGTAGTAGTAGTAGTAGTAGTTGATGCAGCTACTACAACCACCACTTCAAAAGTATCATTTACGAACCTATGAAAATCAAATCCAATGTGAGAGCCATCGAAGGTGGTGTCGTCGATGTGAGACAGATGCTCATTGGCTGAAAATTTTTCTTTCTGTTGTTGTGGAGGTTGTTGTGGTTGTTGCTGTGGTTGTTGCTGTGGTTGTGGAGTTGTTGTTGTTGCTTCAGGTTGTTGTTGTTGTTGTTGTGAATCATTTTTGACAACAACATCATCCTTACCATCTTCGCCATCACTACTCCTAGACTTACTCGAATTGAAATTCGACGAAGATTTAGATACAAATCTTCTCCCCTCCGTAGAATAATAATAATTAGTCTCACTTTTAAACCTTTTTATAACTTTTTCACCGTCATTCTTCCAGCCAATGACTGAAGAGAAAAGTTTGTTGTTGGTGTTGTCTTTGGAGATGTTGAATGAAGTGAGAGGACAGTTGAGGAGTTTGTTAAATGAGCGACTATAATCTCTACTGCACATAAAATCTATTTTTGAGAAATTTATTTCATTTACAGATATTATTTTTTATTATTACCGTTTTTTATTCATATTATTTAGTCTTATTATTTTTATTAATTTATTCATGTTGGAGAAAATTTTTTATTATAAAAAATATTTCTTGATAGGTTTATTATTCTTACCTGATGTTACACATTTTAGGTAAAACCTTAGCAATAAATGAATGAATGAATAAGTTAATTAAATGAATTTAAAAATAAATTTTACACAAAATTCTACTACACTAACAATAATAACCACGGCTATTAACTTTGCAGATATTAATGTTTGATGAACTCTTCAGCTTGTGTCGCAAAATAACATTATTTAATTTCTGTAGCTTAAGAGAGTTAGCCATTTTTATTATATATGTATATTATTACATATATATATATATATATATATATATATATATATATATATATATATATTATAATATAATTATTTGATTATTTATTTATTATTAATATTTATTAATTAGTTATTTATTGTATATTATTTTGTTATTCAGTCAGCTCTTTTCTGATTTCTTTTTTCATTGTGCTATGAATGAATGAGTGAGTGAATAAGTGAGTGAATGAATGAATGAATGAATGAGTGAATGAATGAATGAATGAATGAATGAATGAATGAATGAATGAACGAACGAACGAAAAAATTAGCCAAACAAATATAAACTAATTTTAATTTGTCTACGGAGTTTTTATTTTGGAAATGTTATTACAAGAATAAATGAATGTTTGTTTGTGTGTCGAACTGCGAATGTGTGTGAGCATTCGATTTTTTTTTTAATTAAAAAGGTACCTTATAAGACCCTCCCTAGTGTATACTGAGACCATATAACAAGAATTAATGTAACGGCCTTCGTTCACTTTTAACGGTCGAACAAGGAGCTTACTTCTGGAGGAGCTTTGGAGGGTGATTTGATATCGTTCGAGTCAAGGGTCGGGTTATTTGACATGCTTGGATCATCGGCTTACGAAATTGCATGGATTTTAACGAGCAAGCTATATGAAATATTTACTTGAATTAATATGCTTAAAACATTGTAGTAATTCTATTTAATTTTATTAAATAAAATTATGATGTTGTTTGTTTTGTTCACGGGGATTCGTGTTTATGATTATGTTTCTGTAGACGAGAGATCGGTCTATTTTTTGATGTCATCATTGAGAGAAGTTTATTCTTTTGGCGAGTTCATCGTTGCCTTTAAAGCAACTGAAGATAATGGTGTTGTTGCCTTCTTTGGTTTTTCTACCTAATGAACTTGTCGGCAGTCTACAGGTGACACCATTAGCCTGATTGACATAAGGTGAGCCGAAAATATAAAAACAACGTCTCACTTGTGGACTACCGACATCGCGTATAGTGACACACTGAACATACACACTGACACTTACACACCAGCACATGTAGTCAGATTCACATAAGTATGCGTAGCAAACGAAAATGTAAAATGAGTCTTTACGAAATTTACTTTCTTAAGATTTTTTACAGAACTCTCATTGGTCTGACGTAACGAGGTAGTAGTAGCAGCAGTAGCAGTAGTAAATGCTAGTAATACAAAAGTAGCGTTAGTGTTTTTCTATCTCCGATACTTTTACAGCAGTTTTTCACTTGAAAACTAACATTTTCATGTCAGAAACTTATCAAAATTGACTCTATTTAGGATGCTAGGTCTATAAGAATACAAAAATTCATGTATAAAACTTTGAAAAAAAATTTTTGAAGACTTGAAGACCAATCGGCTTGCACCTCCATTAATGTTATCGTGAAATAACTAACAAAATAATTACATCAGTTATGAAAAAGAAGTATTTAAATGTTAGCATCATAAAATAAAATTTGAACTCTACGGACAAAAAAACAAAGCAAAATGATAAACAAGGCAAAAAGTAATGGAATGTATTGTAAAATGACTGTATTGGCTATACTATAACAAAAATGAACGAATATAAAGCTTAGAAACAGTATTTTCATATTGAATTCGGTTTGGCATGCGTTATATTATGCTAAACAATCAATCAATCGGTCAATCAATCAACCAACCAATCAAACAACTAGTCAATCAATCAACCAACCAGCCCCAGCCAAAAAGCCAACCGATCAACCACAATCAATCAATCAAACAATCAACTAATCATTCGCTTGCAACTCGTTCACATTTACAGCCAATGAGATCTTCTTCTCCTCTTCCACGATTGGTTCTGTTTCTTGGATTCCCGCTTTTTTGTAAAAATTGGGGGGAAAAATTATTTATTATTATTATTATTATTATAATTATTATTATAATAATAATTATTATAAGTTTTATTTCTTTAACTTCATAATTACAATGTATGTTTAAAAATTAAAATAAAAGAATGTTCTCATTGTTATTATTATTATTGTTGTTGTTGTTATTATTATTGTTGTTGTATTATTATTATTATTATTATTATTATTATTATTATTATTATTATTATTATTATTATTATTATTATTATCATCATAGCTTAGAACTTACTGATTAACTAATTTTAGAAGTAGCTTAGCCAACTGCGCGTTAACTCGCAGGCCAGTTATCCTTACCGCATGATATCTCGTGATAAGAATGACTCAGGTTTTAGACTATTTTTAACTTTAATTCACTATTGCTTAAACTGTATTCTGTTATGTGGGCTTGTGTGGGCGTGTATGTGTACATGTTTAGACGTTCATCTGTGTGTGTGTGTGTGTGTGTGTGTGTGTGTGCGTTTGTACGTGTAATGTATGTTATATTCAACTATCTCTCTCTCTCCTCTCTCTATCTCTCTCTCTATCTCTCTCTCTGTCTCTCTCTCTCTCTGTCTCTCTCTCTCTCTCTCTTTCTGTCCTCTCTCTCTCTCTTTCTGTCTTTCTGTCTTTCTGTCTCTCTCTTCCTCTACCTCCCTAAATCTCTTTTCTTAATTGAAGAAACATATTTAAATTTAGTTTCGTAGAACCAACCACTTAGTCGCTCTCTACGGCAGCATATTTTGCATACTTTCAACTTGAACAAGCGATCCAATAAAAGCCAGGCAGATATGACGGTGATGATTGATAGGACGACGACGACGATGATGATGATGATGTTCTTGTTATCGTCGTCGTTGTTGTTGTTGTTGCTGCTGATGCTGCCGCTGCTGCTGTTGGTTGACGGTTTTTGGCAAACCAATTCTGAAATTTCGGAGTTCAAAATGTTTAAATTTGTACATTTTACACGTAAAAAAGGGTTAAATAAAACACTGTAACTTTTTTATAATAATAATTTAGTTTGAACTAGTTCATTCATGCACTCATTCATTTATTCTTTCATTCATTTATTTAATAATTCATTCATTGGTTCATTTATTCACCCATCAATCCATTCGTTCATTTGTTCATTCGTTCATAGATTGATCGGATTGATCGATCGATTGATTGATTGATTGATCAATTGATTGACTGATTCTTTCATTCATTCATTCATTCACACCTTCATTCATTCATCCACTAATTCATTCCATCATTCATCCAACTGACCGAAATCGCAAACGCCCTTAGCCGAGCAAAATTCATTTTTTGGCTTGGGCCAGCAGCAGTCAGAACATAGGTGGCACTTTTTGAAGAACCTGTCGTAATATTGAGAGCCACTGACACAGTCTTTCTTTGGCGGTGCCGATTGCGTCGGGCTTATCATTGACGATGACGTCATCGTCATTATTATTATTATTACTGTCTTG